GTGGAAAGGGCATTTCCACTGGGATGAGAGGAGACATGTAGTCACCACTGACACCGAAGTGTACCTCTCTCATGCCCTTATGTTCTGCTCTGCTGATAGTACTGTATGCATTTGTGTTTTCTCATGCAGAGAGCTCAGATTTCATACAGCAGATGCCAGCCTGTGTGATATGTTACTGTTCAGAGGAGGGGAAAAGTGACAGACATGACCAAACTAACTGGAAATGCATAGTTGGGTTTCAATAACACTGGGTGAACAGGGAAGCAACCCACACACACACACACACACACAGAGAGAGAGAGAGAGAGAGAGAGACACACACATTTCTGAGAATGATTTACAATGGAAAAAACAACAGTTATTATGTTAACCAGTTGGGCAAGTTAATGACACTTACACTGTATGTCTTCCTTTTCCTGTTCATGCTTTGGAACTGATTTTATAGTGGCAGTCCCCCCATTTAACCTTGACGACAAAATGAGTGGTTGCTCATCCAGGACACCCTTTAATTTTGTGTCATTTTTTTCTGGGATGGCAGGGCAACACTAAATACTTTTTAATGTTTACATTCTGTTCCTAAAATCTCAGCGACCAACACCCGACACTGAGAGAAGATGAGGAGGAAGAAGCCCTTTGAACCTGAATTATTGTCTCTTTTGCTTCCTCTCCTCTACCATCGCCAGCCCGTAAGAGATGAGCTATGATGCTCAGATTACCTAAATGCTGACTGTCCTATTATAAATCACTGATTAAAAGACACGATTAAAGAGGATATATGGTATGGTTTTCTTGTCAGTGTTAACATGGCAGATAAGACTTTCCTATTTGACTCCTTCCACATATGGAGATACCTAAAGGGAGGTTTGCTCTGAACCCCCCAAATCCACCCCAACATGCACAGCCCAGGACCTCGTAAATATATGTCGCTGATAAGGCCCAGCAGACGCTGCTCAAGGACTCTCAACGTAGCAAAAAACCTTTATGGCCAGCTTGATATTAGCCCTTTAAAACAGAAACAGGTTGCGGGTATCCACCTGGTTCCTGTCCAGGATTGTTTATCAGTTTGAACCAGTCCTCTCCTCTGCTCTTCCTCAAAGCACGATGCCATGTTAATCCAAGGTTATGACCTAACTGCTCTAGAGTTGAGGGCAGAGGAGAAGAACATCTTGTAGTAATTTCAAGGGTAGGTTTGGTAAAAAAAAAGTAGATAAGGAACTAATCTGATCAGGGGATTCAATTGTACTTGCTAATGTTTAAGGCAGACGCCGTAGGATAAATCTGAAGGGTTGTGAGATTACTAACAAGATTGGAAATAAGAAAACAGACCCACTCTGCCACATTTTTGTTTAATCTTTAGTTTAACTTAATTCATGGACATATGTAACCTGTGACAAGGCCAAGGGGTTAAAAGATTTTTTTTATTTTTACTCTTAGTTTAGCACAGGGTGTTACTGTCAAAAATAAAAAAAATTTTTTTATTTTTTTTTAACTGTAATGCCATTATTAGGTACTACTCTGTATAGGGAAGTACCCAAATGTAAGTACTTGTATTTGGTCTAGTATTGGTGCATCCTAATTGAAACCATGACCAAGAAGGCCCCCTAACCTTAGCAAAGTAACCATTTTTAACACACAGTTTCCCTAACTCTAACCAAGTTAGGTTTTTTTTTGTTTTTCTGCCAGACCTTATCAAACCTTAACCATCGAGATCGTGACATCAGAAAACGGTTTTAATTTTGGAACGGCGATGTCTGTCTTGACTTGATGCTTTAAAGAGCCATACACCAAAAAGGTTGGTAACCACTGGTTAGAAGGACATTTACTATAACTAAGACTATGCCACAGTAAGAGTATGTAGCCTACACTTTACAAGAGTATGAGAAGAAGAAAGCTACAGTGCCTGAACACCACTAATGTCTAGAAAAGACTGTAGGTTTGTTGAGACAAACAGGTTGACAAAGGTTAAAACAGACACCTCCTTTCCATTTGTGTGAGATCTCATTTACATACAGATGGAGAGTGTGTCAGAGTGCAGGAATCATCAGTGTGTCCTCTAACTGCAGTGGTGGATCTTGTCTTTCCTTCAAAGGGCAGGTTTTTAGATCCCACCTGTGAGTGGACGGCATTCAGAAAGAGGGGTGGTAATCCATCTGCTGTGGTAACAACCGCATCTCCAGATGGTCTCTGGAGAACAGAGACGTCCCATGTGTCCAGTTACCACATGAAAGCAACAACATTTAAATACCCATCCATCCGTCCATCCTTTTAAACCTTTTAAAGATGGATGGGAAGTGCTGTTGTATGTATATGGATGTATTTACAGAAATGTTGAACGCGGATGTGTTTTTGTATTCTATTTATTAGTATGGTCGTCTTTTGTTGTGAAGAGAAATTACATTTAATGTTTCATGGAAGAGGTAATAAATTATTGAATCTTGACTCACTAGAGGGACAGATAATGTATAAGATAAGTCATCTCTCCATTTTCTGGTTCAGTTTCTGTTGTGTGATTAGCATTATAGCCCCACAGACTAATGGTCCTGTTATTACCTGAAAACATTAGTTGGACATTTTGGGATGTCATTTCTTTATTTGTTTTCTTACTGAGAGTTAGATGAGAGGATCAATATTTATCTCAATTATGTGTATTAAGTGTGTAGCCAGAGCCAGAAAGCAATTAAGCATCAAAACTGTAAGCAGTTAGCGTTTCTCTCCAAAGTTAAGAACTACACATACCAGCACCTGTAATGCTCACTAATGAACTTGCTGTATCTCAATTGTTTACACAAACAGAAATGTAAAAACAAACAGTTGATGTTTAAGTATGAATTGTGTCTTTTTCTTTTTCTTCTTTCTACCACAGCTGGGCACAGTAACTTCCTGGAGTAATGACATCAAAGTTAGGTTGCTATGGATCCAGTGAAGATGCTGCACGGTCGTACTGAGTGTCAAGACATAGTCACACCAAGGAACTGCCACTAAAACCAGGTATTTTTACCTTTCTGTATATGTACAGATTAACCAAACATGATAGTGTGTGTTAATTGGTGAGCTTTAGAGGTCCTGGTAGGTGTATTGGTGTTTTGACCTTTGGAGAGTCAGACAAGCTGTTTCCACCTGATAACTGCCGATCATATATAGGCAATTATATTCTTTTACTGTTATTTAACGAACAGATAAGAGTGCTATCGATTGTCTCAAATTGCTCTCTCAAAAGTGAATACGAGTATTTCTCAAAATCTTTAACCAGTGTGATTCAGTTACATCTATCATCATCATCATCATCATATCATCATCTATCTGAATACTGATCGCCTTCCAAGCGTGTAGAAGAAACTACAAAAGCTCAATCTAGAGCCTGTGTTTGATTTGTCCGTTTTGGGCTACTGTAGAAAGGTAGCAGTTCAACATGGTGGAAATCAGAGAAGATCTGCTCCCTCTGTAGATAAAAACAGCTCATTCTTAGGTAACAAAAACACGATTATTATTTTCAGGTGATTATACACTAATGAAAACATAATTATGCATATTATATTCCATTTGTGCCAATAGAGCCTCCTGAATAGGACATTAAGGCCTAAATTGTAAGGATAATCCCCAAATCTTAACCTTACCCTTAAGAAGACAGTTTACTCATGGAAAGAGCCGGTAATATTCAGGTAAATGTACAACTTAGCATACCGTGGCTAACGTCACAAACACTTTATTATTATTATTATTATTATTATTATTATTATTATTTATTAGTTAAGAATACAACAGTAGAGGTCAGACACTTTCTCTCAGTCTTAATGTTATTAAGATTAAAAGCTTTAAAGGAAAATGAAATAAAAATATGTCAAGTTCCTAGTCTGATGTTTCAATAATGTACTTCTTTGCAAGAGTGACATTAGCAGACATTGAGACATTTGAGACTAAAGTAGAAAGGAGTAGAAGTGTGAACTGTTGCCATTTTGTTGCTAAGCAACATGCTTTCTGTGGTATTGGCATTTGAAAAAATAAAGTATATAAAGTGAAAGTGATATAGAAATGGTCATGCCTGGCAGACATGTTTTAGAAATAAAGTTGTTTAAACAATTGTTAAGAGTGATAGTGAGTAGATTGAACATTTTAAAAATGTATCTTTATTTATTTTTAGCCACAATTTGTAGAGTTTAAATAGTTTTTAAAGTCATTTGTCTGTCTTTGTAACAATGACTCTGCAAAAAAAGAAAATGTTCTTCCTGTTTCACATCTCTGCTGAGTCATCTTACATAAAATAATCTCCACAGTGCAACAGCTTTTATTTTCTCTCTGGATAAATGTAACAACCCTGTTTTCATTTTTGTGAATCCTATCAAGATACCATTAAGATCAGATCTGCAGAATTTACATTTACATTGGCTTATCTACACGGACGGATACTTTACATCAATGTGTCGCCCCATTGTCCCAGATACACATCTGGTTGTGTCAGATCAGGATGTGTTTGTTCAAAAGAGATGATGTATATCAACGAGCTGCAAAAAGGCTGTAGACAGATTCCTGTAAGCAGCAGGGAAGTGCTGTGGACTTTTATATAGGAGGAGGATATATAATATTTGATCTCCTTTCAGTTTCCCATGGAAGTGAAGTGCATTTTTTAAACTCTTATATCTTATTACAACTGCATTTTAGTGTTTTACAAAGTATTTATTTACTGTTTATTTATTGGGGGATAAAGTAAAGCCTTGCTAAACCTATCTAATGTATATTCAAATGTATTACTTCTAATATGATTAACAATTGAACTTTATTTCAAATTTAGCAACCAAAATGAGAGCGGCACATCACATTTCTGGGACTATTCAGTATTACACAATTCTGGAAAAAATAGAAAGTGGATTGCTGCTTATTGCTGCAGGTTACTGTATGAAGTGCCAAAAAAATTACTGTAGAAAAATAAGTTATACTTATAGTACAGACACACTAAAAATGTGTTTGAAATGTGAGTGAATAATTACAGGACATAAAAAAAGAAAGACATTTTGGGCATCAAACCCATTTTATTTCAACTTAATGCAGTTTAATCCAACACAGTTAGTGCACATGCAAAGTATCATATTTAAATATATACTGTATGTTTGTACCAAGTGTCATGTTTTAAAAGTTAAATATTTTAACATTTAGGTAATAAATTAACAAAATTGAAACATTACTAAAAACACTGCCCACAATGAGTATACACTTTCAATAAAGCATAAAATACATGATAAATTTTGTAAAACGGCAATGTTTGTGTTTGTACCTTTTTTTTCAGAAAATATTTTTTTAAAAACACAAATTCAGTGTAAAACACCAGAAAGAAAAAAAATCACAATTGGACAATTTTCTTTATGTCTTTACTATGAGAGAAAAATCATAACACTTCCTTCACTTAAAGGTATTATGTGTAGGATTTTCACTAAATATTACACTACCTAATAACATATGTGCTACACATTATAGTCACTATGAACTGCTTAACAGCAGCAAATCTGATTATCTTCCACCTTTTGCTTCTGAATATTCAACTGCCAGTCTGCCAATAACGAAGCAAAAGTTCCTCCAAAACCAAAAGTCCTTTTTCCAGGACTCAAGAATCACTGAATATTTAATGAAACAAAGAAATATTGAGCAGATCACAAGAGGTAATGTCTCAACTGTCACATCCATGGTCCAATTAACAGTAACACATGTTGTTTAATTAGAGAATACTACACATAGCACCTTTAAAAACATGTTCATGATAAACTGTTGCTCAGCTCATGATCATTGAAAATACAGTAAGAAATTGTCAAATGGTGCACAAACCATCAACAGAAGAAAACAAAAAACAATTACAGTTGAAGAAGCAACTACAGCATAGCCATGGGGGTACATCTATAAAAGTCTGGTACCTATGAATTAAGATTTCTGTCACAGAGAACCACTGAGTTTTGACATTTCTGACATGTTGCTGAGAATTTGATATGTCAGCGTCTTAGAAGCAAGCAAACGGACATTAGTATTTCCGTTGTGTGCCTGAGTGATGGAGGTAGAAATGTCCATGTGCTGGGTTAATGGTTAATATCCAGCATAGGCAAGAATGAATTATACAACCATTTACTTACCTCAAATGTTAGTGTTGTATTTAATAGAAGAAGCATATGGCTTACCAGTGGCACAGTCTGCAACCTCACTCTGGACTGTCAAAAGTGCATTTACTTTTGTCGTAGAGGGGAAGGTTAGGCTTGTCGCAGCGGGAGACTTAAAGGAATAGTTCAACACTTTGGGAAATATACTTATTCCCTTTTTCACCGAGCGTTAGACGAGCAGATTGATACTACTCTCATCACCGCACAGTAAATATAAAGCTACAGCCAGCAGCCAGTTCGCTTTGCGTAGCACAACAACTGGAAACAGGAAACCTGCTAACAGCTAAGTAATAAACTGTATCTTGAATGTTTCATTTGTACAAAATAATGAAATCAGGCCAGGCAACCAGAGCATGACACAGAAAGTTACAGGTCCCAGCCGAGAAATAGTCTTGTATAATCCCGCTGTAAAAATGTTTACACTTCAGTTTTTGTACGGATTAAAACAAACAAGATGCAACCTGTTGAATAGTGAGCTTTAGAGTTGCTGCTAGGTAGACGATGTTACCCTTTTCCACACTGTTTCAAGTTTTTATGCTAAGCTAAGTTAGCCAACTGCTGGTTGTAGCGTCACATTTACCGTGCAAACATGAGAGTGGTGTCTCCTCATCTTATTTTCTAAAATGTCGAACTTTAGCTTTAAGTCCTCCAAGAACACTGCCAATCGGCAGTGTTACTGACTTTCACATGGCTTCCTTAAGAATAAAGTTAACACTATGAGAGTGCAAAGTTTGGCTTCAAACTCAAATTTTAGCATTTTAACGCAGAAAAAACACACAGAAGACTTAAACTAAATAAGATTACAAAAACATAGCTGTTACATCTGAATAGCTTATAAAACTAATAAAAAATGTTTGAGTATAAAATAGACTGCAGGTCTGATAACGGATCAATCTGTGAGTTCTGACTCCGCAGGCTGAACAAAAATAAAATACAGGCCTCGCTTAAATCTAAATTTCCATTTCCATCTTAACTGCTTATTTAAAAAACCCCATACCTTTCTTTATAGAGACACTGGCTGAACCAGCTGAACCTGAAGTTCTTGTGTTTCTTTTGGCAACCCAATTCTCTGCAACGCTCAAGCATCATTAGACGTTAGACTTGATCCCTCCCACCTGCAGCTTCTATCTATTTTTGTAAATGTCCCTTTTGTTGTGAGTGTGTCGGTAATTAAGGCTACTGTATGCCCTCTGTGTTGTTCACAAAATGCGCTCAACTTTCAGATAATAGTTGGAGGGACGGTGTGGAGAAATATTTACTGAGTTGGCTTGCTGGCTGACGCGGCCCACAGTGACAAGCCTATGGAGAAGGCGAAGAAAAGCCTTGTGTTTTTTTGCAATTACTTTCCACAAAAAGAAAAAAATATTTCAGCCAAAAGAGAAAGTTACATGGCAGTTCTCCACATTTGACAGGCACATAAAGTTACAGACTGGCCTTAAAAGTTTAAATGGCTTTTGTTTGTCACATTTTACATCAAGCCAAATCAGAAGCAGTTGGCCTCATTTCAGCAAATGGAGATTTATTTTTATTTCTATCAACTTTGGAATGATTATGGCTAACCCCCTTTAAAATGTGGGCGACAGTTAATTTTCAAATGAGTCATTCCAAGACAAAAAGTGACCATCTTCAGTAATTCATTTGATGGGTTCATCTCATACTACACGAGAACAAGAACAGTGGAAAACTGTGAGCACCATTGGGAATCTTTTCGTGAGCTTCTCCATTAAACTTCTCTGCACTTAGACCTTATTCAACTGAAGACTAAAGAAAGGATTGTCACATGGAAGACGGTGGAGAAAATAAGGGCGTTAAGGGAATGAGGCCATTGATCTGATGAGGATAAAGGTGCCAAATAAATAACTTTCTGAAATCTAAAAAGCATTTATGGTGGCTGGTTATTATGATGTGAAGTGTAGTTGAACAAAATACAGTTTAAAGCCCTGTTAGTGCCTCTGAGTTATTCTACATGCCTCATGAAACTAACACTAACACTAACAAGTCATCCAGTGGTCATTTAATGGTTTTCCAAAGGTGCTGTCCACATTTTTCCAAAGTGTCCTGATATTAAACTTGTTACAGTAGACAGATCCAGTAGTTCGTATGTGTTGAAAGCTTGTGACTGATGGTTGATATCAACAACACAAAGAGAATCTGATTTAGTGTTGGACATCTACTGTTAAACAGGTTTGGGTGCTCCTTTGAATCAATTTAGCTAATGAGAGTAATCTTTATTTTTCCAAGAAAATCAACAAAATAAAAATAATTCAAGCAGTTCCAGCAAACTATACAATCCTACATCAAGGAATTAAAATTCAGTGGACAGATGGACAAAGAAGCTCAATGATTGGGCGTAGAGGGAGTTAAATATGGCTTAAGGGTTCTACAGATATTCCTACACAGTCTGGGTGGAAATTACTCCCCAAATATTTGACTCAGTGTTATAACCAAACATATTTAGTTTGATTGATTCAAATTCTCTTGACCTTGTTTGTCTGTGCAGATAAGAACGATGCATTAAGACCTCAAGTGGCATCAGATAACCGCGACGCCTGGAAATTATGTCAGTCCTCTTCTAAGAGACCTGCTGTGATATTCAGTTGGAACGAGTTACATAAAACCAACGAACCACTGAAAAACCTAAAAACACAAGGTTTTATGGGTAAAAAAAGAAAGATGTTGACATTTGATTGTCAGTTATTCCTCTGGCTCAAAAAGCATAGAAGAACAAAAATGAAAATCCTGGACTGATGCTCATATTCACCTGGAATATTTCTTCATTTGAGAAATGAGAGTGTATACAAATACATCAACAGTAAGTTGTATTATGGGGAATAGAATGTCTTACGGCACTTTTTCATTTTATTTTGTACTCAACAAACCACCAAGTTAATTAGGCAGGTCATTTTTTAACCGTAACACTTCACTTACTGTATTTTGTCATATTTTCCAACTCTGTATGTACACCAAGAAGAGTTGAAACTCTCGCACACGCATACGGTCACTGCGGTTGAAGATCTGCGGTGTAGTTCTTAATGTATACATAATGAGATGTGTTATCTGTTTAAGTGAGCAGTAATTTTCCAAAAACAGTATCGTCTTTGATTCGGAACTTGCATATTTTCAACAAAACTCTAAGGTGGGGGAATTTCTTCCTTCTCACATATTAATTAATAAATGAAGTACCAGCCCTTTTTGAATGAAGAAAAATACTAAAATATAGGAAGAATAGTAAGTAATAATAGTAACTTTGTTGTCTTTAAGCTGCAAGTTACTTTGAAATATAATAATATAATAACATGCTGGTCGTCATCACATCCAGAGATCCACCCTGAATATGACCAACAGTTTGACTATTTTGGACCTGAGATTTTGGCAAACTGCTGTTGAGATTCACTTTGTGAGATCAGGTTTGTGTGTTGATGATCATTCAAGATTTACTACACCGAACCTCCAAAATGAATTATGATCAAAGGTGATATTTTAAGATGGTTTCAGTCCATTTAAATATGCCCCTAAACCTGCGTTAATGGGTTCAAAATGTAACCTTAACATGCCGGATATAAAATGAACTCGCTAGAGGATTTTGCCTTCATACAGAGTCTTCTCTACTGTATTTTCAGTCAGTTTTTATCTCTTCCAGTCCTAAATTAAAACTAAATTAAAACTCCTCTCCATGTCAAAGGGATTTCAGGTAACCTTATCCCTTTGCAGGATTGGGCTTGATAACGACGACAAAACTGAAACTAGGCCCTTAGTGGAGTGGTAGGTGTATGTTTTTTCTGTGCAACCTAACTCACATTTCCCACTTTGCTTATTGAGGAAAAAAGTCTGCTAATATGTCCACTGGTTTGACTTTATGAAGATTTTCTAACAGAGTGAGAGCTGATTTCAGTGACACTGAGTGATTGTTTAGCCCGGGATACTATGATAAGTATTGCTTAAAGGCTGTGGGTCAGAGAAATTAATTGAGGCATACTCGAACAAGTGGTGGTTAAAACACATCTAACACCTTGTTCGTCACAAGGCCCCACCATTGACTAGCATAGTTTTTGCATTACTGGGTCATGGCTTAAAGGAATACTCCACTGTTTTTTGTTGTGACCATATCTTTGTCTTTAATGGTTGAAGTGATGAGCAGGGAGCCAATCATATAATTAATATATTGTGTATTGTCATATTAGATGCAAAATTTCTCTGGCACACTTTGTCTGGCAAGTAGAAATGTTTGCATTTACTGCAATGACCTCCAAGCATGCTAAAATGCTAGCAAACAGTTGGTTAGCATCATGGCTTGAAACAGAGTTTGCGATGGATACTGAGTGTTGGAGGAATGGTTGAAAGAAGTTGGAATTTGACTGTAAAAAGGCTTTTTCCTCAGCCAATATCAGGTATATTTAAAATATTCTTTTGCTTTTGCTAACATTCAAGAGCCTACACTAAAGGCAGTGGAGTATTCCTTTAATCAAGGGCAGGCAAATGAAATCAGTGATATGCAGCCATTTATAACAGATGGCACAGAAAATGAAAAAAGAAAAAAAAAGAAATTAAAAAAATCATCAAGAAGAGACAAAAGTGCCAGTGACAACCAGCTATGGCAAAATAGTTTTTAGGAAAAATCTTAAGACCACATACAGTATAATTCAAAAGGTTAACAGGACAAAACGTAAAGATACCTGTTGGCAACAAGACAAGGGGCCCACCTTTCATCATGTACCAATAAGCAAAAAGGCAATACAGGATGAAGAGCCATGAGGGGAAGAGTGGATGTGCTGGGCCAGTGTTTGATTTAATTTGGAATAAACCGTATAAAGAGGGTTGGTTAATACTAGTTACACATTGGTGGAGATCTTGTACTTGGGAGACATGTTATTATGGAACCAGATGAAACTAAAAATGACGCCCATGGTTTTGGGTATACGCTCGTCATAGGCAAACGTCATGGCCTCGTGCAGCGGGACTTTGACCACCTCGATAAGCTCTCCCTCCCGTGGCTCACCTCCACCTGCGCTCACACAGTTGTCATCAGACACCTCGGCGTAAAACATGGTCTGCTTGGCACCTGTTACACCTACGCCTGACCTGTAAAGGAAAGAAACAATAAATTGGTGTCTACATTTGCAATTATTCTTCCAAGTTTTTCTTCAAATTGAGTATCGTTTGAAAACCTCAATACTGCGTCCAACCTGACAACCAAATCTCAGTAACAATGTCACAGTTAAACTTCCCATAATCCAACTGTAGTGTCTGCTTTTATTTTCTTCAAATGTCTTGCCCCCAGTCTGTAGCACAGGTTTTCTGTTATAAATCTGTTGTCTCAATCAAGGCCAAACTCAGATACTCTTGACTTGACGAATCTCCTCCAGAGCCACGGAAGACATTATACAACTGTAGACCCTGATAGGGGTCCTGGGGGTTAAGACGATACCCATGTATTTAACGGAAACAGCCCACACATAACAATGGTCATAGACGACACCAACAAAACCAGACGAGGTGCTCCAGTCAAATCAAAAGCACATGTCCAATGTATTGTTACGTTGTTATGACAGCTGTCATAGCCGTCCAGGTGCTGCTGTTTAATGTGGGACTGTTCTTTTCCTGGTACTTTCAACTTCTGTGTCGAGTTAAAGTGAGCTAATAATATGTTGACAAAGATAGATGATTCCCCTGATGCTTCTTTCTAGCTCACTTACATAATGTCAGCTCTGGTAGTTTCTCTTCATAATGGAATCCTCCCAAAATGTAGTTTTACAGGCTCATTCAGTGGTCTGACGTGATATATTTGCATGTTATTCGAACAGCTGTTTCTTCAATAAACAGGACACAAAATACAAGACTTGACTTCTGATTAGTGGATAAACAGGAGGTAGGAGCTCTAATGTTGCAGAACCAATAAATAACCCTTCTAACGAGCTTGAAAATAAAAGTCAGATTAATTGGTAATGATAATTAGAGTTCGTTGCAGCCCCAGTTATAACGTTTTTACTTTGTCCTTAGAATTCAGTTGCAAGTCACTATCCATTTTGGCAACATCAACAACAGTTTTCAGTGTACAACAACCTACACCAGTCACAATTTTGTGGGCATTTTTCGATTTAAATTTTTTCGTGGATGTTTGTATGGATCACAAGATATTAAGATAGTTTTTTCCATCATGCAAACTGGTAACTTTGGAACTTTGGTTTCTTTACATTGATTAAAGCCTCCAAGGGGTGAGTGAGTGTTTGATGCATAAAAGGATTTTTAAACAATAATTCAAACTAGAGAAACAAAGATACAAATGTAGGTTATTTCTGAGTGAACGTAGCTCAAGGAGGTTCAGAAATTATAAATTAAAATGATACAAAATAGGACAACAGGAAATTAATTGTTAAGGGACAAGAAATCCAGCGGGAGTGACTAAAGCAGACATTCAAAAGACGAATGAAAAGGCTCTGTGTTGGGAATGGATAGGGTCAATAAGTGAAACTAACTCTTAACTTAAACTTAGACATTTTCTACATGTGCAGTCAGCTAACCTGTAAGAAGTAATCCTCTTCAGCTTTGAGGCAGGCACATCATAGCCACACTCCTCCAGCACCTCCTGCCGGGCGATCTCCTCCAGGGAGAGGTTGGGTTTGTCCACCAGCCCGGCGCAGAGCTCATAGGTGACCCCCGCTGAGGCCGGGGGCCACTGAGAAGAGCTCTCCCCCTCTGAGGCCGACTGGCCCTCCTGAGACTCGGGAGCAGGGGCGGCGGCTTCAGCTGCACCCTCCTCAGTTTTTTCAGCGGACTGAGGCGGCTGCGTCTTGTTCCTTTCCCACTCGCACATGTATACAGCTGGTGGTGAAACAGAGAGGATAATAATATTTAGATACATCACCCAGATATAAAATCTGTACAATATCACAATTTCCAGCAGCATGCCATAGTGGAGGCAACCTGCCTCATCTAAAATAAAGAAAAGCTCATCTGCCAACGTCAGAATACGTTATTGTGTTTTTATGAAATAGTGTTTACTAGGGCTGCGCAATTAATCGAAATAGCGACGTGGCCAAGGGCTATATCCAAATCGCCGAAGCTGCAATTTTTTGATAAGGGTAAAATGTACGACAAACAGCATTATTATTAAGTACTGTAGCGCTGCAATGGCCTACAAATCTTGTTCTCAAATGTCAGATAATTATTATTTTAATAGTTTTTTTCAGTGAAAATTGTGATGCAAAAATTGACGTGAATCATGTCGCAATCCCGATGTGATTGTAAAAAATAATTGCAATTGCATGATTTTTCTGCCATATCATGCAGCCTTTAGCATTTACCACCGATGTTAATCAATTCCCTGCGTGAAACCCTGAATATACTGAAACTAAAACATATTTCTAAACATTTATTGTCCAATACAACTGAACTGAATATATCGTACACACCCTGTGTAAAAACAAATGACATTCTAGGTTGTAGACAAACTGATTTCTTTCAGCTAAAGGAACGAGAGAGGAGAGGAAATAAATATATCAATGCCCAGACTTCCTTGAATTTAGCACACCGCGGTGTGGAACAGTCCCTGGCGACTTCTAACAAAGGAGGTTAGGCTGCTTTGTAACGGGGCCTCTTGTGGTCTATTTATGAGTCTGCATTGTTACTATGATCCAGTTGAATAAACAGGGATTGTAATGTACTGCTTTTTTAGTAAAAGTGTCCACAGGATATATAACAATCAAGATCTAGCTTGGTGACAAGAAGAAAATGAATTAACTGGATTCCACAGCACTATTGGTCTCCTGCTTTAGATGGTGAAAACTCACCTGGACGGAACTGCTTGACAAGAACAAAACAGTGTGAGCTGGTGTTGAAGATCAGCACTGATACACTAAAGGAAAAAGAGAGAAAAAGGTCAAGTTTAAATAAAGTCAGACAACTTATTCTGACCATAAATCTCTTTGCCTACATGATATACCACTGGTCTGGTAATCTCTACCAGGATATAGGACAATTTGGATCCAGTACAACAAATTTCACAACTACACACTAACTAATTGAACTCTAATCCAATCAGAATGCCATGTCTTGCCTACCGTATCTTGCTTGACAAGTCCTTCTGGACAGTAACTATCGTGCAAAAACAAAAGTGCAGGCGGTTGGGATGTTTGGCGTCTGCATACTCAGCCGTGTACCTACATTTGATGGCAGACACGGTACGTGCACACAGTCCCTTGTGACAAAAGATAAGGTCAGTATAATCTGGCTTTAATTGTGGTTCAAAAATGGGATTAAAGTCTTACTCAACTAACCGAACTTAAAGCATGAACAAGGGACTCATCTAAACAAAAAAGTAAAAGAAACTGTTATTGAGGAAAAAATAAAGGGCAACACAGTCCAGCAGTGTATGACACATGTCAAAACACCTATGGCTGTCGTTTTTGTTATACTAACTCATACTTCATCAGCATCCCGTATCAAGATACATCACTATCCTATTTCCCAGTGACACTCCACAATAGCAGCAATTTTGCTCCCTGGAGTGGCATATCCCAGCTGCCGTACCTTGGCAACAGTTGTCTGTACAGCACGTCTGGCGTATGCAATGGGCATCAAATGATGCAGTGTTGCCCTTGAAACTAAAACTCTTAGCTTTTGTCTAATACATTTTACATAAAAGTAATGCAATACAGTATGTGAATGGAAGCAGAATAAGTTGAAATGTGAATGATAAGTCTAAATAATACCACAAATTATACTTAAAACAAATCTAAAACTAACCACCATTCTGAAACAGGACCACACCATAGAAGATTTAAACGATGACTCTCAAGCAGGGTGTGGAGATAAAATAAGGAAGGTCAGTGTGATGTGCTTCACCACTGGCACCCAGTGAACTGTATACACACACACAGGTGGTTTACTGTATGCAAGTGTGACTGTCCCTGCCAGTGGAGACTTGAGGCTTGGGTTCTGTGTTGGGAAAGCGGATGTGTCTGAGGCGGCAGGAAGCCCTGCCCTGTCTTTCCCATGGTGAGAGGGAACAAGGACATTGGTATTACAACTTGTTTCTAGCTACAGCGCCTGGGCTGATACTGATTTAATATCTGTTTGCAATACAGATATTATAAAGTGAAAGTCCAACGTCTATTCTAAACATCCGGGCAATGAAAAACCAGTGCTGAGATTAGTGACCGCCTACAGCTGAAGAAGATACTGAAGTGAAACTGTATACTGTTAGTGAAGTGTACAAGTATGGATAAGATAATGTGGTAGATTTGGTCCAAAAGTGGGACACACAGGCCTGAGGCATTCAAGCTGTCCCCTGAGGCAAGCCTGGGTCATGTAGTGCTGTTCCACACCATTACTGCTGTTCTACAGCTTCCCGCTGAAAAAAAAAAGAGAGACTCTAATGGTTAAACCAAGAAGCAGGCTAAACGGACGCTTAGGACTTTTCATGCACCGTTAAGCTTTCTCTGCAGGGCTTCTAGCTGGACAGTGGGAAAACTGGGTTATAGCAGACATATGAGGAGCAGCACTAAGGTGACTACTGGTTGCGCTGTAAAGCTCTTAGGATCAAGACATTATTATCAGGCCTTTGTCGTAAAAATAAAAATCTGGGTTACATGCTATATAAGCCATCTTCTGATACTAGAACTCATTTTCTTTTAATTCTTTAAACCTTTTGTAAGCCCTCATTGGTTTTCATATCAGTTAAGTATGAACAGGTTTTAAATTTTTTATTTTTAGTTCATCATCATAATACTTCATAATAACAAATAAGACAAATTTTTTTAGAATCTTGTAGGGGGAAAAAAATAGACATTTTTCATTAACACACAACACCCCTAGCTAGAACACACTTAATTGAGCAGATGTGCATCTTATTTCATTTAATCATCTTGGAGACTCCCTGAAAAATTTATTGGAGCCTACCAGTGGGAAATTAAACTGATTATGTTACTGTGTTAACAAATTGATCCAAATGAATCCCAATAGTGTACCCTCGACATTTATTAGCTGGCTGGGGATACATAACTGCTCAAACTCAAACAAATTAAACTCTTCACAGCAAGTGAAAAGCATAGAAACAAACAAAGACAACGAGCAAGAGCAACTGACTTTACCTTTCTGTTCTCAAAATCTAAATTTCTTGCACTAAGCTCTGACCTGATTTTGTGTTTTGTTCAGGTAGGTAAAAACTGACAAAATGTGGTTCTCTACATATAACAATGTTTTTGTTGTCAAAAGCTAAAAAAAAAAAAACTGAATATACTGTCCATCATTAAAAGTCACTTCCAGTAGTAAACAAGCACCAGTACGCAAACACTCCAATAAACACATAGGTGTCAAAATAACAAAGCAATGGGAGTTTGCCAATCCAGGCTTCATGTGGTTTTGTAGATTTGGAGAAAGCTTTTCACTGTGTGCCTCTGGACGTCTTACATTTGTCCCAGTTAGTGAAGGAAGTTCTTGGTGGAGTTTCTAAACATTTTTACCAGCTTTTTTCAATCAGCATCCAGTATGAAGACTTCAATATTGCAGCTCTGCTTTTTGATGCAGTTCTGTGGGCTTCATCAGGCAGTGACCTCCAGTTCACACTATGGGCGATTCAGGGTTAGGAACTACCAATTGAAGGCCATGGCATATGTGATAGAAAACTGTGGGTTAGCCGCTTCCAGTCCCCTTGGGAATGAATTGGGGCCCCCAAATGAAGTATCAAACTATCTCAGGGTGAGGGTAAGATGCGGGATGAGATCAATGGGCAGATTGGTGTGCTGTCTGTGGTTAAGCCAGCACTATCATGGTGAAGGGGAAACAGTCTACATTTACCAATCTCTCCCTCCAGCCTTCAGTTATGACCATGAGTTCTGCATAGTGACTGAATAAGTTCGATTGCAGATATAAGTGTCCAAAATGATAAGATTTACTTCATCCTGTGCCCAAAGACCACTCCACCTTAATGTTGAAAGGCCCTAAAACATGCTGAAAAGATTGCATACCCCATCCGACTTGCGAACACCTTGCAGCCAGATAAGTGGTGGGAAATGGATGGATGGATTGTGTAAAATAGCAGTAACCATCTAAATGGCCACTGAGAGATAAACATATTCAAGAAGGTGTGCCCCTTTAAAAAAATCTTTGGAATAATTTCAGGAACCAGCTCTTTAAGGACTTAAACTCTTTGTTTAGATATTTCACAGTACGTTACCCACAAATCTGTCTTTCACATTTTTTGCTAGTGTACCTGAAATCTGACGAGTGTCCTGCTGAGAAGAAAATGTTATGCGCACTTAAACAAAAAGGCAAAACAATTCTCGGTCCATTCAATACACGCTAAAGGGGGAACAACACTTTGGCAGAATTTCCACCTGGGGGAGGGATGGATGTTCCCATGGGCTAGTTTCTTTTGGAAGTACAGGTTTGTGGTTTACTGCTTTTGTCTCAGTGGTACTATTTTTCACAGGGACCTCTCTTTGGGGTCAGGACTTGAGGAAAGAGGGCTTAAATGACCCAAGACTTACCTCAGGGCATTATGGTACCCTGGGCAAAACAGGGAAATAGGAACTGGGGTTTTGACACAAATGTGTGATATTTCTCTTACAGTGCCCCCTGTGAAGCTCAGACATTTATAGCCATTGCCAAGTAGAAAAACAGGGCGCCAGTCCCGCCAGTCCCCCCCCCAAAAAAAAGGGTCTGTTTTGGCTTGACCATCCTCCTAGTATTAGGCATCTTTCAGACATGCCAGAGAATAAAGGTATATATATAGACACAAAATGGCAGTGGTGGGCTAAAGGTTAGAGAAGCAAGCTTGTGACCAGAGTGTCGCTGGTTCAATCTCCCCTCCACCACTGAGCAAGCGCTGGGAGCAAGGCCCCTAACCCCTGCCAGCAGACTGTGGTTGTACTGGACAGCTTCCAGGCGTGAATGTATAACTGTGTGAATGTGATCAGGGCATTCTTGAAAAAGAGACGCTTCCTCTCAGTTATCCCCCCGGATAAATAATGGTTTTAAAAAATATACAGAGATGATGACATTGGCTATAGGTGAAAGACAAAAACATATGCAATGTATTTCTTTTACTGGATTTCAGCTTATTATTACATTTATATATTTCATGGTACACCAGAAAGTCCATGAAAAAATATCCTACAAGTAAAATGGCAAAGGATGGAGAGTAGATATAAGATTTAGAGTTACAGACATAGTATGGGTCAAGATTGGTGTAAATCAAGCTCCTTAGCACACAGATCACCAAATTCATCCTCGTCTGCTGATCCCTGAGAGCTAGATCAGATTCAGATACTTAAGCAATAAGCTCTTCAGATTGCAAAATGTCTCCTGACATGAACATTTCAAAGCTTTTTTATTGGCAGACATTCTTTAAAGGTGAAGTCTTGGCTACGCAAACCAAACTCCGCTCTGTCTTTGGCCTATTCCACATCAATGTTTCTAACACATCCTGAGCTGGTTGTGTGTGTTAGTCCATTCTGTACCATCTCTTTATGCATGTGTTTGTGTTTATGTGTGGACATATAGAATGAGTGGGGTGAGGGCACTGCTTCTATCTAACAGCAGAGAATGAAACATGTTTTACCTGTCATGAGTTCGCATGAAGTCCCAGGATTTCTTTGTGCCATTCTGTGAAGGAGTAAGACAAAATAAACAGCATAAGTAATAACAGCAACACAATTTTAATCCTCAAACACAATGGTTTGACAACAGAAGTGTGTGCAAAAGTTTGTATACAGTGTGCTTTCAGTGCACCACAACTTCTCTGTTATATGTCACTTGTATGGCAAGATGACAAATCACCTCTGACTTATTTAATGTGATTACTGAAGTGGCAATAAGCTGCCCCACAACAGATTCTTGCTTGGGCAAGTTAAAATAATATCACAAACCACTCCCAACAAAAACATCTGCAGATGCAAAGCGAAAAGCACTGTGCCTACACCAAACATGACATTGTTGAACTCTAAAGGTCCAGTGTGTAACATTTAGCAGGATCTATTGGCAGGAATGGAATATAATATGCAAAACTATAAATACAGGAATTGTTGTGTTTCCTTTACCTTAGAATGAGACATTTTTCTACAGACAACGCCTCCATGGAGCTCGCCATGTTGAACAGCTTTAGATAGGGGGCATTAATGTTTTTCACACTCTTTACAGCCACCGTAGTTAGTAGTGCTTGGAAGGGGGGGTGATGCAAATGAGTTGCTATCTGCAACTACTCCACTAGATGCAACTAAAGATGCAACTAAAGATGCAACTAAATCTTACACACTGGATCTTTTGCAACTGCAGTTCAGAAAAAAAGCAAGTGAAAGAAAAATGCAAACGGTTAGAATAATTACTTGAATAACATTTTAAAAGAGTAGCCGAAATCTTGCAGAAGTTATATCAATGTGTGTTTTCCTTATGAAATATACAGTTGATATCACTGTGGCGGTAACTTGCCAAATTCCATACACAATTTAGAGCAAACATATGCCGATTAGGACAAAATGTCAAAAAACAAACCTAGGAACTGTGGAGGATTTTTGGACTCTAACACAGTGACTTTCTTACACATCCTCCGTCAGAAAAGGAAATAGTCCACTGTTATGGAGTGTATATATATATATATATATATATATATATATATAGAACAAAGTGCAGTTGCAGGGAGACATTCCTGATGACGAAATACTCAAACATGTCCTGTAGTTAATCAACTTAAGTGACAGAAGTTACTAAGTGCTTATATGCCCTTTGGTCACATCAACAGGATGTGCAGCTGAACACTCCTTCAGTAACTTTCCAGCAGCTCAATTACAAACAAACTGGCAAGGCAGGTGTGCAACCAGCACAAAAGAGATAATCAGAAATATTCTGGCATACAAAGATCTTAAATATGTGGGCAGTGACACGCACATTGTCTGATTGTTGTTTCATCACTTTTCAGTAAGCATAAAGAGACAATAAGGTAACCCTCCTTAACCCGCCTAGTTCATTTCGAGGTTATTTTCATTCATACCAGGTGAAGCGAGGAAAGGTATTTGCAGTTCAGGGTGCCACACCGGATGATAGGAAATTAAAATGATTTGGACTTAATCACTTCATTTCAAGACAAGTCAACAAATACTTCTTATCCACTGATGAATAAGTGCAGCTGTGGCTCAGTCTGCACAAAGAGCTGACAAGAGATTGCAAAACGCAACCCTCTCGCCTCACCCTCCCTTTTCAAGCAAAAAGGAGAAACTGCGGCGGCCATGAAAAAACGCAAACTACCCTTATTTAGAGCCAGTGGCGTTCTGGGCTGCTGTAGAAACATGGCGGTTCAACATGGCCCGTGTATTTCACCTAGAGCTAGACTGATAAATCGGCCAAGCTGAGCTATAGAACGATATTGGCCTATTGCACCGGTATGCTTGTACATGTTGGCCCACTAGCAATAAGAAACTGCAGTACAAAAATGCAAAAACATGTCTGAAGTCATTCAGAAATTGCATAGTTTATCGACTGGAGAGCGCTGAAAAGCTGTAGCTGTATATCTCTGCATTATAACATTTGTATTTTAAAGCTCGATTTCATGATGCAGCCGTTTTTCGCATTATTTTAAAACAGAAATTGATCAATTGAACCAATTTATCTCCCAGCTCTAATAATTTGTAGATATTTAACCAATCTGTGCTCAGAAGAGTTCAACTGAACACAGTAAAGTCTGGCAGCTGAAAACAGTCCCCGACAAATTCCTCCTGTTTAAGTAACATTTACTACAAACTGCAAATCAGCAAATATGTGTGAATTAAACTGAAACGTAAGCTAAGCATATATTCCTCTCTCCACATTACATGCTGAATAAATATGGTAAAGTTGGCCTACATTTTCTATGCCCGAGGAAATCTGGCCTTGATTCAAATTTAGGCTACACCTCCTCTCCACCCACAAGCTCTTTCAGACGCAGGGACGCACAGCTTTAGTAGAACAGGCTTATTTCAGCTACAATGGATGTGCCTTCTTGTGTGCGAGTGTGGCGGTGCAGTTTCAGTACCACCCAAGAAATGGGAGGAGGTGAAATGGCAAGCTAATTGCACTGATAGAATCAGACATGATAAAACTACTGTTGTGGCAACAGGATTTGAGTTAGGATGTGCCACTATGCTAGAGATCTGGGATAGACAACTATAAGATTTCTATCTAAAAAGGGAACAACAACAAATTCGTCAACAGATGATAACAGCATAATACTGAAGAATCAGCCACAATGCTGATTTGCCTAATTAATCATGAAAACCTTTACTTTATCATTCATCCATAAAAAAACTACTCTTAGTCTTCCTTTCAGCCCGGCTTCTAATCTACAATAAGGTCCTCAAATTCATCTTAACAATACGGTCAAACGACTGGTGCGTGAACCAACAGGTCACGGCCACAGGGCCTCAATGTGAAGCCAAGCTAGCATAATGCCATTCATGCATCATTAACTATCATGTTGTGGTGTGAAATGAGAGCATGAAGCCTAAGTTTCTGTAGGTTTGGTTGCGCTACTGCTGTAACAGCTATTGTGTCAGATATATGATGGAGGTTTACTGTACACACATTTGAATACTGAGCCGAGAAAATCCAAACAACTGACTTGAACCTGAATAGCCATCATTTATATCCCATGTATTTACAAATGTAGCAAATTCCACTTTAGCTGAAATGAGATGAATTGTTGATATTGAATAAACATATAAAATGTTAGTACTTTCTTCTACCATCCTGTCTTGTTATATATTGTTATAATGTATAGAATAATGCAGTTGAATGTCAGTTCTCACATACTGTACAGCACTCTCCCTTCAATACACGTCACGTTCTAAAATCTTCACCCTTACCCTATGTATTTTTCTGTTAATTCATTAATTAATTAAAATTCCATCTAAATCAACATAATTCTGGCTAAGACAACGTATATTAGATTGTAATGTGCATGGAATAATGGAATTATAAATGACTTTTCTACTTACTATGTTTTGCCACAACAAGCTCAGATAATGTTGAAACAATTAGCAGACTGAAAAAACTAATCACCAACTACTTTGATAACTGATTAACCCATTATTTAAGACACTCGTCAAGCAAAGTACAAAACATTCACTGGTTTAAGCCTTTCCAATCTGCAACCCAAAACCTTTCTGGACATTAACTGGATGAGCTGCATCCAGAACGCAAAAGTCCAAATCAGTTGGACAGGACATTAAAAGGACCAGTGTGTAGGATTTAGATGCAACTAGCGGTTGCAGATTGCAATGAACTGAACACCACTGGCATCTGCCTGTGTGTAGATATATGTGTGTAGAAGAAACTACGATGGCCGTTAAACTTGTGAGAAATACTAAAGGCCCCATCTAGAGCCAGTGTTTGGTTTGTCTGTTCTGGGCTACTGTAGAAACATCAGACTCCATGAAAGGCGACCTGCCGCATCTGTAGATAAAAACAGCTCATTCTAAGGTAACGAAAACACAATAATTCCTATATTCAGGTGCTTATACACTAATGAAAACACATTTCTGCCACAGATCATTCTAAATGTGACACACTGGATCTTTAAACAGACGTTAATGGACTAATGGGTAATGTCAGATTGAGCCCCTGTGTGAATAGAGCTGGTCATTGTCTGGAGAATTCACAGCAAGCAACTGGGCATGTTGATGACGTTGCTAATTTACACGTGCTTTATACTCTTTCCTGCTCGTTGAATTTTTGTCAACGAGAATTTGAATTTAGTCCGTTCTTATTCGGTTTAAACTGTCCATAAACCGACACTGCAGGCTCATAATGCATGGATTCATACACTAAGCCAATAAGACTTAAAGACAAAATTGATACCATTTATCTATTCTCCCGCTGTCAGCCATTAGTAAAGAGTTGACATCCCCACTGGTGAGTCCTGTCATGAAAGATTCTCAGCCGGCCCTGCAGACAGTCTCCGGGTGTAATTACTCTAACAAAATCTTGACACAAAGTGTGCCATCATTCCTCCTTGAGGCCAAGCCAGCCGCACCCCGCTCACTTTTCCCTGGTGCAAGCAAAAACTAGTGTGAAGGTGTGTGTGTGTGTGTAATAAATCCCTTGTCGTGACTGAGGTGGAGACGCACTTCTCGTGGCTTGCTGCTTTGTAAAGTGTGCTTATTGAATAATGTATGAGACAGAGCATTTTTCCTGTCAATGAAGCTTTTACAGGTAAATTGTGGAGTAATTGCATGGGTAAACGTAGGCTATCAACACTGATGTACACTAGGACTGTCCCGCCTCTGAACCAAATCCTCGTTATTAAATACTGCGTCGATGCCACTGAAGTCTATATTTTACTACATACTACTGCTGCACAGTGCATAACTGTGTGTTATACTTGGCATTGGAGCTAGAATAACGAGGATATGTTACAGTAATTTAGCAGTTTTTGCACAACATTGAAGCAAGGTGCCTTAATTTATGACATATTCTAATCCTTCTTTTGTTGACATTTAAGAAGTAGCTGTTCTAATAAATGTTTGGTGAAGAATTTAGAAATCAAATGTATGGTTTGGGGTTCTGAAAAGCTAGAGGGCAATCATCTGCAAAAAACTGATAATTCCCATAACTCATTCAGAAGCTACTGAGTCTTG